TATTAAATTAAGAAGCTATAAATCAAAGTTTTATGATATTTGAATACTTATTTTGTGAGATATAAAGAAATTAGTATACAAGTATATGTAAGCTAGGGTTTAAAACTAATGTTAGAGTTTTGACGATATCTCAAGATCCGTAATGTATTAGCGGTTGGAAATTTTTTATGAAAGTTTTTGAAAATATATCAATTTGAGAAAAATCTCTCATAAGGATATATATAAGGTTTTAAGATACTTTATCATACATTTGGATGTTTTCTTGGTACTTAGGCTTATGTTTTGATGTAATTGTCCAATAAGGAAAAATATCATATATATAAACTTGGTATTTTTATATCTTAGATTTGATTGAATATTTAGTGGCAGCCAGAAGCCCAACGCTTTCTTGAGGCAAACTCTCTCTATTCCGACAACAGTCCCTATTGTAGCTGGACAAATTTATTTTTCAACATGCTATCTTCTTTGATCGCCGTACTTCTCATTTTATGGTTACGTCACTTCTTTGGGTAATGTTGAGCAGTGTGCTTAGATTCTCTACAATATAAGCACAATTCTTCTTGATGACGATGAGTCTTTTCTTATTCAGTAAGAGATTTGAAACGTACTGCATCAATTTGCATATCTTCTACTTCTGAATGTATGTGTTGAAGAGATATTGGTGTTGCCATTGAATTATAGTAACATTGAGGTCCACTTGTACAATTCTCAGATCGAAATTCTAAAAGATGATTGTCGCACTTCACAACAAAGTTAATTGCTTGACTCAATGTTTGAGGATTTGGTAAGTTGAACATTAATTTTTTTACCTCATATTATAATTTGTAGAGAAATTGGCTAATAAGTGCAGTATTATTTTACTTCATATCACTTGCAAGTTGTCGAAATTGTGAAGCATACAACGTTATTGATCGATTGTCTTGTCATAAAATATAGATCTTATTGGTTGTAATACAAATTGCATCATGTTCTCCATACATGGATCGAAACTCTGCCAAAAAAGCCTCTAGATGATCCAATATTGGATCTCGCCATTTAAGAAAAGATGAAAACCATGATAATGCTGAATCTGAAAGAAGCGTATCAATGAATCTAACTTGCGATCCTGGAGTTGGATAGCTTTGGGATTGAAGTTCAATCACAAGTTGTACTTGATTCATAAATCATCTAAACTTTGATCTGGTGCCATCAAACTTCTCGAGTAGGACAATTCTTGGTTCTCTAACCTAGAAGGGCGTTCCACCATAGGAGAAGGAATATGATTTGGTGCAGATGTTGAAGTAGCTCCAATCATTTCTATATCTTCACTTCCTGCCAATTTCATTGCTCCTTGTGGTGGTAAATTGAGTTAATGCATCGCAAGCATTAACTCTCTCAATTGCTCTTGCATTTGTGCCATTGCACTCTTCATTTCAGCAAGTTTTGCCATGATAACACTCAGAAAAGAGAAGATGTCTAATATCGCTCAAGACAAATAGAAAAAAGGACTTGAAAACAAAGAAAATACTAAAGACAATATCAATTTAGAAGAGGGTAATCCGCAACTTCTAATATGATTATGTCTTATCAAAAGAAAGGAATAATCTATTCTTAATCAAGATTAGACAAAGCTCTGATATTATAAGTGTACTCTTGTCAATTTGTCAATGCCAAGAACATGATAAAAACAAATAAACAAGTGAGACTTCTCTCAAAGAAAGATGACAAAATAGACATAACTTGATATGTATATTAAGAAAGAAACTGGAATGACTATTGCCAAAAGTCAAGAGAACTAAAGACCCTTGAAACTAGATGAAAGCAAGAAAGGAGTTGACAAGAGTGAAGAAGGCTTCACTCTTGTCTCTATATATATTATCTAACTAGAGGCTATATGGCCATGTTCTATAGGACCTCCAATATGTGTTGACTTTGTAGGACACATGCCTTGACTTACAAGGCAAATTTTTCTATGTGTGGGCCATATAGTTAGCTTGGTCTTCAAGCTAACAACATGTGTGGCACATGGCCAATTTGTTGACTATGTTTCTAATCCAAAAAGTCAATTATAGACACCTATAAAGTCAAAGCAACATCTATGAAGCTTCTAAAAAGCTTCTATAGCAAATATTATAGAATTAACTTATTTTTACATACTTTTACTTACTTCTACCTATTTATACATATAATTACTAGCTTACATGTGTATGTTTGTGACACAATGGTCAAATGACAAGATGGACTTTTTACCCTTGAATGGAATATTATCAATGGTCTAGAGGACCTATCAAGTACATTCAAAAAGAATAAAGATTAGAGTACATAGCAAATATAATTTTTTGTATCTTTGACTTTCTCAATACAGATCACCGCTTCTTATGGAACTTGTCTCTAAAAGGGAGATAATGTCTCAAATATATACCAAGTATAATTATTACCTAAGTATGTAGAATTACGTTAAAGTAGATTAATTTCATAACATCTTCTAAAGAAACTTCATAGAAGATTCTTAGACATTTTTTTGACTTTATATATGTTAATAGTTGATTGATAGGTTAGAAACTTGGTCAACAAGCTACCCATGTGTTATATGTGTTGATAGCTTACGAAACAAGCTAATTATGTGGCGTCCATATAAAAAACTTGCCTTGCAAGTCAAGATACGTGTCATGCAAAGTCAACACGTTTTTGGAGGTCCTACAGAACATTGCCATATAGATCCTAGGTAGATAGAATATATAGAGGCAAGAGTAAAGCATTCTTCACTGTTGTCAATTCTTTTCTTGCTTCTAGTCTAGATTTAAGAGTCTCTAGTTTCCTTGTCTTTTGGTAATATGTCATTCTAGTTTCTTTTCAATATATATACTACTTTATTTTTATTTATCACTTTTCTTTTCATAAAAATTTTCTAAGTTTATGCATCTTCTTTTAGTTCATATCCTTGATACTATAAAAGTAATATTTCTATGTCTATGGAATAGTAAAACTAGTAAATCAATCATACCATTAAATTTGAAAACATCAATGTTAAAATTCAAAAAATGTAAGTTCTAAAATGGATAGTCTATAATCTTCAAAACACTACAAAAGAAGTAGAATAATCTATTCACTTCTAATATTAAATAAAAATAATAAATTAACATTCTTGTCAAATAGTAAAAGACATAAATCACAAATAATAAAAACATCAATATATTCTTGTGTCACTCAAAAACAATAGATATCTACTTTAAGATTGTATAGTATTAAAATTAGAATGACTTATCAAAGACAAGAAAACAAAAGATTCTTCATACAAGACTAAGAATAAAAAAGGCTTTGACAAGAATGAAGAAGGCTTTAACTATAAACATGTACAAAGTCAAGTCTATGTCTATTAAGCTTCTAAAAAGCTTGTCTATAAGATATTATCAAATCTATCTATATTTATCTTCTACCTAATACTTCTTATCTTAGGTAATTAAGTATGTATGTGATACTTATCTCTTTATAAATAGAAAGTAAGTCAAATATGATTTTATTTTTATTTTTAATGACATTATTTAATATGCCATTGCAACAAATTGTAAATGACATTTGATAATGTTATAGAAAATATTCTATCTCTTATATTTTTAATATCAAATATCAAATTTAATTATGACCAAAAATATATTTGACAATGATGTTATAATCACAATCTAATAAATAAGATCTTTTATTTTTATATAAAAAAATTTAAAAATTAATTATTATATAATTAATAATATATATATATATATATATGATTTTTTTACCTTAATATTTCATTTTTTATATATAATAAAAATATATTTATTAAAATCATATACATTCATAAATATTTAAATATTTAAGAATAATAAGGTCTCAATTATCAATTATTAGCAGTCTAATAAAGCTCTTTTATTTAAATAATTAAAAAAATAAAATTTTATGAAAATTTATAAAAAATAGATAATTTAAAAAAGATAATGTAATATATTTTTGTATAAAATGTTATGTAATTAAGGTAATATTTTTTAAAATAATTAAAATTAATCCAATTAGAATGACCTCAAAATTCACATATTGGTCTTAAAACTCAATAGTGGATTTAATAATGATCTTAATAATATTATTACTACTTTTACATTTGATGTTTGTAAGTTTTGAAATTGCTTATGTAATATATATACCTAATTATTTGATACTTCTTAACATTATAATATTTTCTAAAAAAAGAACATTTCAAGGCCCTTAAACTTATATCCTCTAATTAATATTCCTTCCATAATTTAAAAATTTTCCATCCAACAAGGTTTTAAATTAAGTGAGGTAAATACATATTATAGATATTGAATGATTTCTTGATTAACAATCTTTATTACTTTTGAGACCAATCTAAAAATTATCTTCCCTTTGAAAGAGGTGAAGGAAGATATACAACTTTACATACACATCACAATAAAATGCCACAACAAACAATGTTAAAAATAATAATAATAATAATAATAATAATAATAAAAACACAAAAACACAAAAACACAAAAACACAAAAAATAAATACAAATATGTATATATGTATGAAGAAGAAAACTCAGTTGTAAATGTTAGAAAATTAATTTGCATGATGCATAATATTAATTCCCACGCGCCATTTTAGTACTGGTAGCATTTGAATAGTTGACCTGTACCAGAAATGATAAACGTCGGTGAACTATCCAAACGAAACAGTTCAAGAACCGGCGAAAACTGGACAGAAATCCATCTCTGGGCACGATCTCACTCCGCCGATAACCGCCAGATGGCGATAACTTTTTTATGACGCGTGCGGCACACATTCTGATACTCGTGCGGGGTAAGGACACAAAGTAAATATCTCAAGAAACCTGGACGCGTGCCACGTGAAACCCGCTTTATCAATTTGAACGGCATGGTGCCGGGAAAGGTTGAGGACGGTTTCAAGCGGAATTGTATCAGAATATTCCCGAATGAACAATTCTGGAAAGCAATTCCGGCCCCTGAAGCGCTCATGTTCTGGGGACGGACTGGCAGAGGTTTCTTGTAGAGGACGGTCCGCGGTAGGAACGACTTTGTGTGTTTTCCTTGTTGTTGTGGTTGCCGCAGTTCTGTTGCGGAGCCACCACACTAGAATCTCACCACAGCCCAGAGGATTGTGACTTTGTTGTAAGTCTGCGAGGGAGGAATTTAGCTATGGCGTCGCTGGCGTCGAATTGGGTTTTTGCGATGCGGGACATAGGTGGGAATTGGCACAAGGAGAGATTAGGTGTGGATGTTGGAGTTCCACCAATTGGAGTGCAATTGCGGCGGAATTCGGAGTTTCAGTGCAAGCTAGCGATGGCTGGTAGGAAGCAGAGGCGGGAGGTGGAGTCTGGAGGTGCTGTTCGAGGGTTTAGTGTGCCGGGAGGAGAGGATATGGTTGAGGGCTTGCCGTCCAGCGCGGATGTGCCGAATATCTCTGTCAGGTCGCATTCGGTGGAGATGAAGAAAGAATATGGTGCGTTTGGAGGGGGTGGGGCAACTTTGGAGAAGTCGAAGTTGGACTTGTCGCAGTCCTCGGCTAGGGTTAAACAGGAGGTGAGGCTTTGGATTGCGTGTTGTTGCATTTGTGTCGATTTTGGCTGTATGGTGATGAATTTTGTGATTTCGGGGTGGCCCTGAGGTTTATTGGGGTTTGGACGAACTTGAATTTCGAGGTATTGGCTTGTGGAAAGTTCTCCCTTTTTGGATAAAGTTGTCTTAGGGTTTTGTTTTAAGATTGCTTGATTTGGCAGGGCGTGAACGTGGAGTTGATGAGACTTGTAATTGCAGGTGGAACTTGGAGGCGGTGGTGGCGGTATTGGGAATAAGAATTTCAATGGAGGTGGAGATGGAGGTGATGATGATGGCGATGATGACGACTACTTTGGTGAAGATGATGGCGATGACGATGGTGATAATTCGGGGTTGTTTGGAAGGCGTGTGGTTGTTCCTGAGGTTCGACGTCATTACTCGTGAAGAATACAGTATGGACGTATGAGGTTTTTGATCAGAATCGAAGTCGCCTGTGTAAATCTTTGGATCAGCGTGTTGATTGCCTGTAGTGTGGGCCTTGCACAGATGTTCAATCGGAAATACGTGGAAGCGATCTTACAAGAGTGGTTCAGGACGATCAACGACTTGCCTGCGGGGATTCGTCAGGCCGTTGAATTGGTGCGTTGGACCCAGCTTCACTTCATTCTTATCGTCTGAACGAATACCTGTGCTGTAATTGCTAAATTTTGGTGTATTTCACGTCCTTTTTTGTGTAGCAGTAAGGACCAATGATAGTATACGTACATGGAACTTATAGGCGATCACCGAAAATATAATTAGATTTAGGTCACCGAGTAGTTTTGTTAGAATTTTTTTGACATTCATGGGTTTTGGTTCAGGGGTTGATCAGCTCTGCTCAAATGGTTAGGTTTTGGTCAGTGAATGCAAGGCCGACCATGACGAGGACATTGTCACGGATGGCGCCTCAATCAGTTTCAAGAGCTTTCATCGGGCGGTAAGTTCATCGTGCTCATAGTTGCGAACTTGATGAGTTCATGTATAAGGTCCTGGAGATTCTCTTCGTAGTACTGCTTTCTGTATGTATGTGGATAGAGTCGTGATAGGTTGTTTCACAGCATATAAACTGATTCTTTATGAAAGACCACGATATTATTTTTTACCTGTTCGAATGTAATTTTTTCTTGTGAGACCGAGCGTCATGGTGCTGGAGACTGTGAGGTTGGGTTGTTTGGTCATTATCTTTGAGTAATACGTGCACATGCGAATATTACAGCATACTTGCGGATCCTGGATTTCTGCACAAGCTAGCATTTGATGAGATAGTTACGATCGGTAATGCGGTGTGGTGGGAGTTCCAACACCGAGGAGAAAGGTGCGATTCATGATTTCTAGGTTACTTGTTAAAACGTAGGTGTCACGTGAATATGAACGAATTCAAAAAAATCTTGAAATCAAATTTATATATAGAGTCTCTATTTATCGCAAAGGATATTTTCGAATATGCTTGATATGGTAAACATCAGGAAGAAAAAAAGAAAAAAAGAAAAAAAGAAATCCCTTCAGCCTCGGTATTGGGAAGTTAAGATGTATGATGACTGCCGTGTGTTGATTCCCAAGAGTTGTTTGAACAGGATCAAACAAGAATGGGACATGGCCGCTGTAAATGTATTGACTTTGGTGGCAAGCACAGCAGCCATGAACTGGGCTCTAGCTCCCAGTCGATCATATGGTTCGACATTCAAATATGAGTTTCAAAATTCGATTCAAAAGCTTCCGAACCACGTCTTTGATAAAAGCTACCCTCTTCGAGAATTTGATATGCCCAAGCGAGTGTTTAGTTTTTTCTACAAAGCTGCACAGCTCAGCTTGGTTGGTATGGGAATCGGGTCTGCTGGGGCAGGTCTAGCCAGTCTTATGCCTTCAGCAAGAAAAAAAGAGTATGTTACTATTTGCTCTTGACTGTTCGCTTTTGAACAGATGCTTGTACGTAGTTCCCTCAATTATTTCTGCATTTCATTGATATAATCGTGTAAGCTTTGTTGTACCAACCCTTTGTTAAATCTGTCTAAGCTGCACTAGTCCTTCTTTGAACACCAATGCAGAAAGCTCACTGTTCCATGACACGTGGTTTTTGGTAACAGACCATCAGTGCCGATCCCTGCAGTCAGCACAAGTGCATCAAGTTATGGAGCTTTTATGGGATTATCAGGTAATATGAGGTATCAGCTAGTTAATGGAGTCGAAAGGCTTATGCAAGACCATTTTCAGCATTTGGGAGTTGTTTTATTCTTCTCTGCAGCGCTCAGGTATGTCCTGTGCCACGTGTTTACACTACATTGTGAGCATATGTGGTGCAATCCTTGTGCAGTATTTCATTGAAGTCTCCATTGCATGAATAGTTTGTTAGAGCAAAGGATCAATGGACAAGTAGATGTGTTTGCAAATTTCTAGAGTTCTTATAAATCATGTATTTCCTACAATTCCTTCAATTCATTCATCTGAAATGTATGAACATTAGATTTAATGGATCACAATCACAAGAGTCGGGTCCATTTGTAATGATTAGTGGAGCAGCACTAGTGCAGTTGGACATGTTGGACTTATGCACAGTAAATATTTTTTGCTTTGATTGGGAAAAGGGTTTATCTATTTGTCGTTCTCCAGTTTACCGAAATAGCGATGTGATTCCTGATTTGCGTGAATGTATATTAAGAACTGATCAGACCTTGATGATGCAGGACTCTGAATATTCACGTTGGAGATGTTACAAGGCTAGCCTTTTTAGGTCAAGGGGAGTTACCTGTTGTTCACGCTGATGGGATCCGTTCACAAGCTTACCGCCGGCCTTCACTATCATCGGAATCTTTGACGGGATCGGTGATTGCTGCAAAGGGTCTCATAACAGGCCTCTTTGATGGTCAGAAGGTTGAGAATGAGGATAGTAGGCAACGTCAATCTCCTAATGTATTTGCGAAGAGGAAAGTAAAGAGGAAAGTAACCGCGGGGAGTAGGTGATTTTCAAGTCTTTCACACGGAAGCTGTTTGTTCAAGACAATTACCACATGAGTTGCTTCACGGGCGCTCACACTTTTGCAGATCAAAAGTTTTAAATTACCTTTATACTGGGACATGAAGCCACTTTGTTGTAAAATATGATGATGTGCTCTATTATCTCGTACTATGAGACTTTTAAGATAGGAATGAGCAGATCGTTGAACCCTGATCCACGTTAGCAGGTTTTTCTGTAGCAATTCTCTTCAGATAATACATCTTTGTACTCGAGCAGATTATTCATGAGTTATTATACAACATGGGGATAGGCAACTCGTTTGCCCACGAAGACATAAAACCTGGTTGTAATGAACGCCTTGTGAGCTTGTATTCAAACGTAGTCTACATATTCTGCGAGGTTCAAAGAATGTTAAACCTGAATTGTATCAAATGGCATGTTAGCTGAAAATCAATGTACTTCTCAAGCAAGACTTCATTATTTATATTATACCATGGATAGGTATGGGTGTGGAAGAATCATAAACTATTCCAACAGAAGCAACGTTTGGTATTTATGCATTTCCCATTTTGTTTTCTTTGGTTGTCTTGGTGTAGTTTAGGGTTTATTAGTTTTGTAAGACCAAATGTTTTGCTATAATAACACATAAGATTGTACTAAAGAATTAAGGTTGTTCTATGAATGATTATTTAAGATTGACCTTTGAATAGAGAATTGTTAGTTTCTTGTTTTAACATAGATGTGTTTGTAGAATAATAAGTGGAGGCAAAATCATTCTTTGTGCATTTATTTTAATTTTTTTGGGGAAAAAATAGTGATTAGAAATTACATTATATGTAGTGTTGAAGAGACTCATACTTCTTAAATAAACAAAAGTAAGTGGTAGTAAAAAAAAAAGTGGATAGAAATAAAAATAGGTAGATGTTGTCTTCTTCTGAACACCAAATTATATTTTCCAAGTGTGTCTAATTGTGCATGGCTCCGGTTTAATCGACGGTGGCATGCACCAGAAATTGTGCGCGAAACCAGGGGTCCCTCGAAGGCAGCGCAGGAACCGCCAAGTTCAGCCGCGCGCTTTGAGGCTCTGTATGTGCGGCAGCATGACCCACGAATGCACTGCTGTATCACGCACCTGGACACCATCGCTAGCTCTTGTGCGCCGCGCTTCACCAACTCTTCCTGGTCGTAATCCCGCGCCCATTGCTTTGCATCATCCCGTTGGAATGCTCTCATCCTGGTGCCAGATGATAAACCACTCACCCCACCAACAGCAGCTCAGATACCATTACCCGAATCCTCAGTGAATCCCATCGATTTAACCCACATCGCACAACAGGAGCACGCGCACTTGGACCAGTTGGGGAGTTCAGATTGCAGATTAAACACAGAGAATAAATGATAAAGCTCCATGCCATTGTAAGCATGTCGCACATTGTAATTGTCGCAGGCTAAGTATCCACTTGGCAGAGCCTAAATTGACGATGAGATCAGCGAAGAATCTTGTGCCGTTTCTGCCCAACCTAGGCCGATATAAAGCTGGTGACGACCATGTGGACGTAGGTGTGGGTGAGTGCGCGCTATCGTGACAGGTTCGAGTTTTGTGGTGTGAGGGAAAAGATGTTGCTCGAAACACAACGCGATTTTTTAATATTTTTTTGGTGGGAGAATTATTGTACGGTGGCATATCTTTATTCTCACCCTGGAATGCATATTGAACAGACAAGTATGATAATCTAAATATGGGGCTTGGCGGGCGCTCACAGTCGCTTGCCAAGCCCCTTACTGACCATCTAAATTTGGATACTACTCGGATGGTCTGCGACTTGGTGAACTGGAGAATAAATAATGTATCACCATAAATTTTTTCCAATACTAGCTCAACCCTGTCAGGTGTAATGAAAGTTTCTGACCTGTAGTGCTTTCACTATGCATGGTTGGTGCGCATGCTCACGCCTGGTTGGCTGTGCAGCATCATGCTTGAAGAGTCACTGCAGTGGCCCTCTCGAGCAGCGACGTATTCAGAGTGACCATTTTAGATGAAATTTGAATGACGGATTCCGCAAATACTGCGGACCCTGGAGTCGTAGAAGGTTCTGCTTTGCCTCGAGATAGTGATTGTTGAAATGCTGTCGAATCTGTGTGAAGTCTATTTAGGGTCATGCTCTTCAATCGTTGTTCCAGAGAGCAGTGAAATCCCTCTGCCAGCTGATTGTGTGAGGTAGTGACGCGCATCTTCCCTTGACACCACGGATAGGAATGAAGAACTTAGAGTTATTGTATTGTATTCTTTGGAACTATATTTTACTGAGGTCCGTTGCCGTACTAGCTTTCCCAGGTGCTTAAAGGAAGACATGACGAGAAGCACTCTCGTCTCTATATTTGATGAAGTTGTGAGCTAAAATCTTGCGACGGATTATCGTTCTTGACCGTAGCTCTATCTCGTTCTTGCACGATTGCGATATCAAGTGTACTTCCGTTGTTGGTGTTAAGCGTAGTGTGGGAAACGAAGGAGAGAGAACCGGGAAGCTCTTGGGACGGTGTGAACTTGCCGCAAGAAGATTGGAGGAGGCGGTGTGTGTTGTTGAGAATCGCTGCACTGCACACGATAGCGGGTGATTTGATGCTAGCCGTAGGGCGAAGCGATTACGATGAGGGTGCCTTTGAGGTGCCGGTTTAGAAGTAGGTCCATATTGAGCACAAGAGGAGCACTCTGGAATGTGGGATAAATTTGAACATTTTCAGACTCATTCCGCGATTAGTGATATTTTGATGAGCCATTTTCTTGGAAGCGGTTGAAGGAGCGTTTAATCTGTAGCTTCTGCTGTCCTCGCGTAGTTATATTTCAAATGGCTTCGAAGGATAATCTAGGGAGACTGGAGGGGCGTCCAGGTCCAAAATCCTTGAGAAAGGCGTATTGCAAAAGCCGTACCATTGGGATTATGTTGCTGCTGGCTTGCAGCGCAGGACTAATTTTGCTCTGCTTTGCGTCAGTTGACGTAAAGGTGTTCTATGACAGTGGTGTTACTAAGGACTTTGTTTTGCGGAGGGGTTTGGAACCTAATTCTCTAGCCCTCCAAAAACCTAAAGGAGGAAAGGGGTTTCGAGGGATAGCTCCCAAGACAGTTGATGTCGATCTAGGTAACGGGAATTCTACAGATGTAGGAGCCGATGATTTACACGAAGCGGAAATGTCTGTAGAGAAATTAAAACCACCTCTAAATGACAATGATTCTGCCGTAATGAGTGAAGCTAATAGCTCCTCAATCCACACCGATGGCGAGGGGGTTAATCATCCACTTCCTTATCACAAGAATTCCGTGGAGTTGCACTCTGAGGATCCTGAAAGTTCTGAGGTTTTAGTGCTGGCAGCTGGTGCAGAGGCGAAGGGCAAAGCACGTCGATCTCTGGCTGGTTGTAACCTTTATCGAGGTCAATGGGTGTACGATGAGTCATACCCACTGTACAGATCCAGGAATTGCCCTTTTGTGGATAGAAATTTTCGGTGTAAGGAGAATGGTCGACCCGACACAGACTTTACGAAGTATCGTTGGCAACCTGAGGACTGTGATTTGCCCAGGTTCACCCAATACTTATTGGATTGACCCTATCTTGATCTAGCCGTTCAAAACTAAATGTTGACGGATTTTGGCTACGTTAGTATGTGTTCTGGGAGTCTGTGAGCTCTCGTGTGGCAAACTCATCTCTCGTCTGTGTACAGTTTTGTCTGGGGCGTTCACAATTGCACCGGCAGCATCCTTTTCATTCGCGTATGCTCCTGTAAATATCATTTTCGTAAGCAATGGCTGCCATGGTGTTGTCATCGTTGAGAGAAGAGCTTGTGATGCGGCAAGCAACTTGCAACTTTAGTCCTGTCCACACGCTTGTTGTTTGAATTCAATATTGTTGTTTGAAGGTTCAATCCTGAAGACATGCTGGAAAGGTTGCGGGACCAGCGGATTGTGTTTGTTGGGGACTCTTTGGGGCGGAATCAATGGGAGTCGATGTTGTGCATGCTAGCAGAAGGTGTACAGAATAAATCACGGATTTATGAGGTCCATGGCCAGTCCATAAGTAAGGTCGTTGGTGAGCTGATATTCCGATTCGAAGACTACAACTGTACCGTGGAGTATTACAGGGACACTTTTCTTGTTCCACAAACACGACCTCCTCCGGATTTACCCGAAAATGTGACGAGCGTGCTGAAGATCGACCACGTGTCATGGAGTGCCGGAAGCTGGCCTGGAGCCAACGTCATGATATTCAACACTGGTCACTGGTGGTCATGGGAGAAGATTGGACGCCCGTAAGATTGGATTCCCACTTTGTTCCTTATTACCAGTCAGTTCTGTCTTGCATTTTCGTGCGGGCTTGTGGTGGCATGCTCCTTCAACCCGGTTATTTCAGATTGTAGGACTTGGGAGCATTTGTTTTCTGTGTTTGGTGCAGCTGGGTAGGATGTAGCTGGGGTGGTGTGTTTCATTTTTTCACTTCTTGTGTGTATGTTCTTTTATTTTCAGAGGTGGCAGGTTTTACATGGAGCAAAAGTTGACGACCCACAGCAATGAGGATGCATTCAAAATCGGAATGAAAACCTGGGCGTCATGGATGGAACGTAATCTCCATCCTACGACTACTCAAGTTTTTTTTCGAAGCTTTGCGCCAGTTCATTTTAGGTACGTCTGCTGAGGTGGCTTCCTCACTCTCATATTCTCAACCCTGCTCGAGGTTGCCCAAAGATGGTTCAGTATAGAATCAAAATGAGTAAAGGATTCCAAATGTGATTGAAATTTCAGATCCTTCAAACCTAGTTGAGAGCTAGATGTCGAAACCGTTACTTTGCAGCAATTCTGAGGTCCTTGCTAGAGGTATCACTATGGATGTATCACAGATTAGAATAAAGATCTCACACACATGCCTGTAAGTTCAGAAAGTCCGCTACCACAGACAGTCCACTAAACAGTGCGCATTGGTCCTTCGAATCCTGTGCAGAGGAGGATCCTGGAACAAAGCTGGTCATTGTCACGAAGAGGTCAAGCCATTCACAGACGAAGAGGTGCAGCAACTGCAGCAAGTGCCCTGGACCAACAAACTCATCGTGGAAGCGATCGATCAGAACATCAAGACAAAGAGGAGTGCCGTCGAGTACGTGGACATCACAACCTCTACAAACTATAGATCCGATGGACATCCAGGTCTGTATGGAAACGACGTTAAGGTGAACGGATTTCCCCCGAAGAATCGGCAGGACTGCAGCCATTTCTGTTTGCCCGGCGTTCCGGACACATGGAACGAGCTCTTGTACGCGGCGTTGCTCGCGAGGGGCCAAGGTGTGTGGGGTAAATTTGTATAGTACTAGTGATTCATTTCTTCACTGTGAGGCTCTTATCGGTGCTGATTGCAGCGAAACTTAGCTAGCTGCCTGCTCATGAAGCAACGGTTCCGCAAGGTGAGATGTACATGGTTAGGCTTAATCAGATGCTTGCGTTGCTCTTGTATGTAGATCCTTATCTAGTTCTGTATTTAAGACCCATTTTTGGTAAGACCCAGAATCAACAACACCAAGGAAAGTGTTTTGAAATCACGCATTAGAACATTGTTACATGGGCAAGTTTTTTGGTGTTTGGTTTCTTTTTCATTGTATGTTTCCAATAAGGAGGATACGAAGGAAGAGTATGCATCTAATGCCCCTAATTCAGGTCTTCGGAGGCTGGCGGAATATTGTTGCTCTTCGTCTCGGTCTTTTTGGATTGGACCGGCGTTAGGGAGTCTTAAGGTGCTTGAGACTTCGCATGTAAGAGTTATGTAGACCGTTATATCTTGTGTCAGATGTGGAATAATTAGGCTCTGGTAGTACTACGAGATCTATTTACTATCCTCCAAATGTTTCAGCCAAATACGCGTAGCCTCGCGATCTTTGACTGCTGCTGTGACGATTCTTTTATTTTGTTCGATTTCCATACCAATGCATGTAGCGTCTTGCACGTATTGAACCTCTAAGTTTGACGGTTGTTTTCGAAGTTACCGATTTCGATGTGTTCTTGCTACGGTGGTCATCTATCTATTTCTTGCATATCATTGTATTGATATTGTAAGGTGCAACGCTTTGTATGTGCACTTCTTGCTACAGTCTGCTTCTTGTGTGAACAAGTCAAAGCGTTATGAAACATTTATACGAGTGCATTTATGCCTCATAATAAAATTCAACGTTTACCAGGAAAACTTGGATGCTATTTAAAACGGCAGAGAATCTAAGTTTCAAACCATAGACTTATTAATTGCAAGGCTTGCCAAGGTTTCCAGTTGTGTGCATCATAATGGAGCTGTCCGCGTTGCCTTCATATTCCTCAGACACCCAATCATGGGTTCCTGCACTTGCAAGGCTGAGTTTCTGAAATACTACAGTGGAAATTGATGTAGTTGTACTTTTTCTGTGCAGTTCCACAAATTTTTCTACACGTCCACTCAATAGTCTTACCGCTTAGCAGAATAACAATAATGAAATGCACAGTTTGTGATGACAGCTGGCATTAGGAGTTTCCTACAAGGTTGAGCTCTGGTGATAAAGATTTCAAGCTGCATCGAGATTTGGTAATGTTGATTCGAGTCGCTTTGAGCTTGTAATATATTATCCCGACCACGATGAATCCTGGAAATGAATGGTTTAACGAATCGATTTTGACTGTAGTGTACGCGTTCCTCAAGGACCTACGGTGCTCATGGGTTGTGGCTCTCATGTGCAGATCGTTGTGCCAGTATAAGGCCTATTTCTGCCAGAAATGTCACAAACTCTCGTAGAATCCCCGCCACGATTATGACAAAGTGAAGAATTAAGTGCAGTTCAGAATGTTGTTTAGACATCATCCGATTTCGTTTGCAGAACATGAGATGATGAAAAACTTCCAGCTTATTCAATATCTGAGCCACTCGGACGAGATACTCGTCATCAAATTTTGACGATATAGCTAGTTTCACAAAAGTTAAGGGATACACTGCAATTTCCTTGATGCATGTTTTTCCTTCATTTTCTTTGGTCAGTGACAGGCGAAAGAAAGATGTCAGGCGATGTTTCAGGGTACACAGCAGATTGAGCTTGTCAGAACGTGTTGCAGATGCTGGATGATTAGGACGGGAAGATTGAGGAATTTTTGGCCTCCCCCTGGAAGAGAGTAGCTTGTGGGCGCACCTGATATAATTTTACAGTACTTCTTGCTGTCTGATTCTGCTAGCTACTGTGTCCTACAGCACATTAGTACCTAGCGAAGTTTTTTCTAGCAATGCTTAGGCGACCTCCGAATCGTTTGTGTTCCTATCTTGGGTTAAACATACCTTGTGTAACTGATTCTATTAAAAATCAGAAGCGAATTTGGCCAGTTACTGCTAGCACCGAACGCAGCACAGACATTAAGCTTAACGGTTCTTCAACCTGGTTCATTTGCAGACGAGGATACTAAAACTTTAGTTTCAGAAGGGTTAAGAGAGATGCAAATGCTCTGATTCAGCGATGCGCATCAAGTTGGGATGATGGCCTCATTTCAAAATTATCTAGATATACATCAGCAATCAGTTCGATATTGATAATTTGGATGTACGGGTGTAGCTAACCACATTATCTTGGCAAGATAGTGTCCGAGGGGAAAATTAGCTGGGCTATAAATCTACTCTCTGGTAAGCTTGAGTCGCGGATGAGAGAGTCAAGGTATGCCATGGGTCAATTGGGCTAGCTCCAGAAGATGGACAAGAGCACCACGACCATACCAATAAAACTCTCCGGCCCATGCTGAGAAGGCTTCAAAGTGAAGTCAGGTTGTGTTAATTTCAGTTGATACGAGTTGTTTGGACAGTGAATTCTTAAGATTCCTGTTAACGAACCTGAACCGAAAAATATCAGAAACGACCAAACACAAAAATGCAATACGTTGATGAAATCATACATTTGTAGGTGTACTAAAAGAGGACGGGAGATTGTGAAAGAAAAGCAGTATCAACATAGGATCATAGTTGGCCAAAGCAAATATAGGGATGTCCAAGTGAACCCTCTTTTCTTCCGAAGTCAAATAAGTCACATCTCATCGTCAGGTATGGCAGGCTTGTAAGTCTGGAACTCGCCTGGTCCAAGATACTGTTCTAACCTCTGGGCAATATAGCTAGAACATATGAGCTCCGAGAATTTAAATAATTCAGTAACCTTCCTAAGAAATAATCCAACAGCCTATCAGATGCGAACATTTGACATTCTTTTCTGCCCATAAGACAGCGGCCACAATTCAGGTTCTACTTCGATCTCTGCCTCATTTTTCGGCGCTTGCGTTTCAGGCGCCTCATACGTTTTTTCTTCCACTGTCACACACAATCACAAGTCCAGAGTAAGCACATCATTTCCACGAGATACGACACGCACAGCCAAGTTACCTACACACTATACCAGTAGTCCCCTTAACCTAACCCTGACATACACGTAACCGAAACCCAAAGACTACCCAAACCGCATCCGCGACACATTGAAACTAGAGATGTGAATGACAGTTGGAAAGCAACTAAAACATAAGCCTCACTCACACATCGACGCTCTGATCACATGCAAACTGGAAGAAACTCTTGTACGCCATAGCTATTTCACAACAATAGTTGCCAAAACAAAACTCCAAAGAACCTATACAACACCGTAAATCTGACACATGTTCGTTGCATTGCTGAGCCAGGCATAGAGTGGGGAGAAATGCATTACCTTAGCCCTCATGGTTCACGACGAAGCGGAGATGGACAGCGGCAAGCAAGTTAGTCAGATAGATCGGTTGCAGACAACAGAGACGACATATGAAGGAGAGTCTAGGCGGGGACCCTGCAGCCAGCTGAGCCCTAACATTTGACCACGTCAAGCTCCGACGTGTTCAACCACGTCAGCGTTTTCTCTGCCAGATCACACTGAAGAGCAGCCGCTCTTCCGCGTCGTGAGACCCGTTGTTTCCAGACTCATGGGCCTTTCAGTTTTACAGGATTTTGTGAGCATTTGTAAAACCCTAATTTACGGACGAAAAAACGTGGCTTGAGAATTTGTGGAGCTATAGTTGGAGCCATTGTTATATATGTGATGAGTATAAATTTTCAGTACAATACATTTTGGTTTTCTATTTGGACTCGTGTAATTATGACATATTACTCAAATAGTTTTCCATAAATACAAGTTGATGTTATGTACATCTAACAAGATTTTGCACAATAATCAATATAAGCATAAATTTAAGTTTTATATAATGAAAAAAATATAATGGGTATTAGAAGACATATGCCAAAGACCTTGACATGAAAAAGTCTCAAGATTTATAAAATTATAAATAAATGTATAAAAGACTTTTTAAATGATTAAACTTTTTTCTTGTTTTGTTACATGCAAATTCTGCAAACACTCTCAACAATGACTCATTTAATGAGTAAAATTTAAAAACCATTCTATGTTTTAATGAAGGATAATATATGTATATATAAATATGTGTGTGTATTTATAAATCATTGATATTTTAATTTAGAGTCCAATAGATTAAAAGTTAATAATAAAATATTATAAAGAACTAAGACCACAAAAGTTTATCATACATAGTAAATATAGATTTAGAAAGATGTTGGATCTAAGACCTAATATAGTCATCAACAAATACAATAATTTCTAACAATTATAAGGTGAAAATGCAGAAAACGTACTTGGAGCATTCCCATTTCTAACATGACAGTGAAGGTGAGTTCTTTTAGTGATTGGAACTTTGTAGAAAGTAAATGAACGTTGTTTGATTTTTTTTAAAATATATATACAGAAATTAATTAACTCAAAAGTGTTTTATTTATAATTAATTAGTGCATCAATTTTATTTGTCAATTTTGTGTGATTTTCATTTTTCTTTCTATGATTTGCATATTGCTGCCAAAAACAAAGGTAGAAATCTTGCCTAGAAATTGTCAGGTTTTCTTTTATAATTTATTTTTATTATTACACCCCATCACAAAGTTCCACAAAAAGTTATAAGATGACATGTCTAGCAATGGAATGTCTTTATCAACATCTGTAACATATTAAAAAATTTGAACAGAACACCTTATTGACATGCAATTGTTACCATTTATTGTGTTTTCCACATTGAAGGGAACACCATATATCAAGGATTACCATACATCTTTGACCTAGTTGCAAGGTGAAGAAATAACCATACTCGCATTCAATTGTTTTTATCTTCAGTGTAAGTCCTGATGAGCCCTAATATGCAATGCTCACTGTCCAAGAACAGATTCTCTTGTCTTGTACGAAAGGCAGACTAAGACACATAAGCACCAAACAATGCACAATGGACAGAGCTGTTGCTGAGTATTCTAACTCATCTCTAAAGCTCAAGATCTTGTAGGAAACATTGACCTGTGGATTTACCTTAAAAAACTGGATCAAGTATCCAAAACTGCTCCAGAGTTCTTCACACTCCACCCTCCAATTTAGATCTAGAATGAGCTCGTGAGGGTGTCGGCAGAGGAGTCCAACGAGGCCATGACACTGAAGACTCGAGGATTTTAAAATCGCACTGTACTCGATTCTTGACACTGCAATTGTTGATCGGCGTCTTTAAGGTTCTTCCGTGTACAACTTGGCTAGGTGGTAAGACAATAATTAAATTTGAAAAGAGCGTGGTCTGATGTAGACTTTTCAGCACATGAGAAATTCAATAACAAATGTGCGTTTGTATATACATATACATATATATGTACGTCGGCACACACATGCACTCACACACCAAGTGATACAAAAAGAGGTCCATCTGATACATTCTCATCATTGAGATTGTGAACGAAAATGACATCTTTCAGGCATCTTGAGAAGCTGAGCTGTAAAAATTAATGAACAGCACACTTGTACGCAGCACTCAGTGTTAACGTATTGTCCTTTTAACATTTAATCCTTGCTGTGATCTAGGTGAAGCTATCGAGCTGATCAGCTTTGTAAACAGACCTTTGAGGGACTTAAAGGGAGAAGTGTGTCTCATGCATATCCTCTGCTGTTCTGGTTAAGTGCGATTTTAAAATCATTAAACCAATCAAAACATACATCAATATTGTTATGGAACTAAGCTGCGTAGGTCAAAAACGTGGTCCTTGAGATTACTGATAGGAGTTTTTTCTTAAGGGGTGCGTGTAGGAGAAATCACCATCCCCTGTAATGGATTCAAGCTCCTCATTTCGTTTCTTCAGATTATAATAAGACAATTCCAGAATCTTGTACCGGTTTTCTGTTTTGGTGGTACTTGCTTTCAGCTCTTCGATTTTCATCTGCAATTCCTTCAGGTAGATAATAGCATCGCCAAGGGTGGAAGCTTTGTCTGCCTGATGAGCAAAAGAAGTAACTAGTGTTTAGATCAAGTTTATTTGAAACTCAGCGCCAGAGTTCTAGTAGCGGACAAGGAGAGAAGAGTTCATTAATGACGCTTAGTAGTGTGAATGATACCTTGGAGATTATCGGAACCAATTTCCTCAATGCAGTAAAGTTTTCTTTTTGTTTCACTCTACGACGTCTCTCTGCCATCATGTGATTTACAGCCGCATCCTCATGGGCACCATTTACTGGGCCTAAACTTGCGATTCTTGACACTCTTCGAACTCGTCTCTGGTCCGTCAATGGACCCTCCAAAATAGAAAATAAAATTAGAATAAATACGTAATACTTGTAGCTGTTAACATACTCATCTACTACTCAGTGATGCATTCAGTAATCACCACAAACACAGTTCAAAATAAAAGTTCGGGACTGTACACAAGACAGTTGCTTCTAACAATGGTCCTGATTGCATGCTAAGGAAAATCCGAGGATTCGAATTGCAATGCTTTATGATTCGTATAGGTACCAGGTAAAATGCATCTTGACCTCTACAAGTGTTCGTTGAGGTCTCCGCGCCAGAGAAAGTAAGCACCGGCTGCTGTTGTCCCGCAGCTCCACTGTTTTGTGTTCCTTGTTGCAAACTGGGTATCTCTTTACAATGCCGAGCAGCTTTTCGCTCAAGCACGGGGGACCTTCTGTCATTTCGTGGATCGAGGATCGGGCCTACAGCACGCGTTCTCTGCCAAGACACAGAGCCCAGCTCCGTCTCACCATCTTCTACTCGAACGCCTGAAGAGCTGGGCAGGTATGTTTCCCGCATGACGTTTTCAGTTTCAAGAGAGGACTTGTACAAGTCTTGCCAGTCTTCTCGATGGGTCCCCAATGATTCCCCTCCATCTTGCATGAAAGTCAACACTTTCTGAATTTCATCATCGTCTCGAGGTAGCTGCGGGACTAACCCTGTGTATGTGTTGGTGTTCTCAAGCTTGAATTCAGGTCCTTGAGATGGTGTCCCTCTGTAACCAGTAAACAAAAATTGTTGCACATGGAGTTAAGACTAGTCAGACAAATGGTATAATAAATATGACATCAGTCAAGAGAAGAAGAAGCAATAAAAAATGTAAGATTATCATGAATTCCGTCTATGACCTTCTCGAAGATGAGCTTGTGGTGGAACGCGAGTTACGGCTCCGGCTGAACGTCGTGTTGATGTTCTCCGGGGAGTTGGACAGCCTTGTATTAAACCTACCTTCTAAGTTGCTCGCACTGGGCGAAGTGGTGGAGGAATGAGATCTGCACCGACCCCTGAATTGGTTGGATGATGCAGGTGGCAGGACCTGGTGCTGCATCTGTAGGATGTCACTGGCCGACCTCGATGCTCTAGGAAATCTCAACATTGCAGGATCTGGGAGCAAGCCTGTGTCCAGACAATGGTGTGATTTTAAATAATTCACCTGGCTATCATCGGATTTCACCAAAACCATTTCTGATGTTGCCAATCTTGCCGACGGGCTGACCGATCTGGACATAAGAAACATTATTTTTTTAATCAACGCGCGCTTTGAGTTGATTAAGAAGCGTGTCTAAAGATGTTTGAATGAGAGGAATGCATGATTTCAATTGCGAGTGAGGATTTACAGTATGAACTGCGGGATACCTTAACTGCTGGTTAAGCGAGTTTGAGTCGAAGGCTTGGTAGTTCAGATTATCTGGAAGATCCCCTGCTGCGCTCAAGCATGAGAAAGGGGAATATTCCGTTATGGATGTTCCACCAAAACGGTTTTGTTGAGCTTGAGAAGTGTCAGGAAGTGCTGGTGGTATGATTTCTGTCATGAAACCGCGAATCCTTTCCATAAGACTAGGATCTTCGGCCACCTAGAAAATAACAAGCGACATGAGATTAAAACACTCTGTGTACATCGTCCACTAGGAGCACAAGAAGTAGCACAATTCATTTACTTTTACTGCTTTGGAAGAGGCAAACGCAGCTTAATCATTAGGTAGATGCTTACTCTTTCAGTAGTGCCAAGTTCCAGCACGCTGTCGGACCACGGGATGCACATTGCAGTCTGTCAAGGAAAAAGCAAGAGCCCCATCAATTATAATTTCGAAAGAAAGTAAACTTCAAAAGACTAATGCTGCAAAATTCAGAGGTCAAATAATGGTGGAAAAAACACAATGAAATTTACACCTCATGAATATAACACAATGTAAAGTGGATGGTTGAGCTGTGAATCAGAAGTGGCCACAAAGCTTCAAATGAACTGCTTGCTATAGGGAGGTTGTCAGAGCGGATCACGATTCATAATCTATATATGATCACTAACTCGCAAAGAGTGGTAATGTTGTCAAATCCCTAGTAATAAGTTCTGAACTCACAGACGTATACAAACTATGGAGCATTTGTGTGTACCTCAATGCCAGCATGCTGCAGGAACTGTGCCTGCTCCATCGATCCTGCAGTGAGGTGAACTGATGATCCGTTCATCCAAAAATTCCTTCCCTCTGCGTGTGCCATGCCCACAGACCTGCAAGTGTCAGCAACCCATTGTGGGTAAGTTCCGCGGATCATCGCAGTTTCATTTTGAGATGTCTGTCTGGATTCCACAACCGCATTCCAAAAATAAGTTTGAACCATAAATATTAACTAGACTACTGCCTTATCAGTGCAAGCCTCGAATTGTTATCAACTTCAGCTTGGTCCATGATTAAATGTTGGATTAAATCTCAACACTATGAATTTCTTGTCAAATGAGGAACATAGCATCAATTCGTACGAGTTAAACCATATATCGATTGAACTTGAATGTGGACCATATTGTGAAGACTATTTTATTGAAGATTTCATTGTGTTCTACCCCTATCATATCCAAATCCTCATAATTCCCTGGATGAAAGTTGGCAGTGTCGTTTCTTTGTGCCTGGTGATACCTTATTTAGAACAAAGTTCCTGACACACTCTTCTAAGACCTCACATGCAGATCTGTTGAATATTGTAATCACGAAGTGTCTCATTCTGTGAGAACTTGGTCGTGTAGGAGCTTTACCCAAGGCCGGGAGTGAATGTGCAGAGCTGGTAAGTGGATTTAAAGAGATGCTCATTCCAAGCTTCTGCGGCACCATTGGTCGTCATTTCTGTTGAATTCACCCTAAAGTGCCCTCCTCTCCACCCGAGGCTCCTATACAGGATTCTTTTCATAAGACGCGTAAACTTATCTGATTTTCAAATTGCTACTCACAACCGACAAGTGGACACTGGACCAGATATGGAGATGAATATCAAGTACATCGCCAACCCCAGAAAACCCAGACTGATCTAATATATCCAATCGTAAAGGTTAGAGATGCGTCAAAGATATCCAAAACCGTCAACTGTCGGAGTCAATTGATTTAGTTTGAGTTCGGATAATGAAGAGAACCTTGTCTGCGGCGGAGCCAGATGGCTCAGTGACCAAAGCGCAACATAAGACCACCTCAGCTGTTGCAACAAATTCTGCAGCTGCCTCTGTATGTGCTGGTATTGATGTTCCAAGGGGACCCCTGTAATTCCAATCTGCACTTGAGGGTACGAACTCATTCTGACAGCTATGATTTAACCTTCTCTCGCTCAAATTCACTTCCGATGGCTCCGCCCTTAGAATCCTGCCTCAGCTGGGCCACTCACTCCTGCGGATCTACCGCCGACGAGAAAGGGTTCCAGGCCAATATTGTTAACACTGCAAATTAATCTCCGTGGATTGAGACACGACACCCTAAAGCTTTAAGGAAACGGGCGAAGCATTTCGGGATTGGAATGGTGGTCATAGACTTGTACATCTTGGCAATGCTTTTGCAAGAGCGTCGAAGTGTCCGCAGGGTGTAATTCAGACATGTTGCGATTCCTTAAGTTGCTGCTCTGTGTTCTCCACACAAGTCAGCGCAGGATTCTGTTTGAACGAGTTCGTGCCCAGGGTTAATGTCGTCGAATTCTTTTCTGATCTTCAGAAGAATCGTCATTCCTCGGACCTATGCGACTGGGTATAAAATCTCCTCAACCGAAAAATTACAGTACACCACGTGCACGCACTCAATCATGAATGCTATTTCTTTTCCACTAAAACTGGGACAACAGCGATTAACCTGAACGTTAGGCTGCACTTGCACTTCAATACCTTCGACCACACAGGCAGTGGCTCAGATGCACAAACCACACTGTTTTCTTGCTTATTGTCTCAGTATCCCATACCAGATCTGAATAACCTTCCTCAGTCACAGACCCAAGCGATGGATTTCAATCTAAAACTTACATGCGTGAGCGAAACAAATGTAGTACTCTATCCGTGGAACAGAGAGATCTAAATCTCTCAAGTTTATTCAACCCCCTCCAACCCCTCCTCTACAAATGCAGCTGTCTTCTGATAAACCCCATCGACCCGCAAAATGCCGAATATATACCAGTAAGATGTGAAGGGGTTGAGACCAGAGCCCGGCAGTGGCAAGAGGCAGTACAACTCTGGAGGCGACTCAAATGACAGGTTTGCTGTTGTAAGAATCCGCTTCTAGACTTATGCTGAGTTAATCTTGAATCCCACACGTTTCCACATGAACGGCGATGGTCCGTGCGTGACCACCCAACCTATCAGCGGCAACACGTATTATCGACATTTACCAAGGCCGCAAGTCCCAGCAGTGGCGGTATTCACAGAAGACCGCAGAAGAATAGGCTTCGAAGCTAAAATTACTAGGCATCAAGTGCCGGTCTCCGTGTTGTACACCTCGATGGCTACCAAGCATACCCCTGGTTCCTCGTCACTAAATGCGTGGAGGTGGAAAAGGCTCAAAACCTGGAATGTCGATCAGGCTGTGTCCCATCTTTGATGATTCAACTAGACAGATTCTTCGCATCTAGCCGAATCGGTACGATGAGCGTTGGGAAAGCTGAACATCGGGTTCCGTCGAGCACACGGCAAGATTGTCGTTCTTAGCTAGGGCGTGATCTGTTCAGAGAGTGTACATTTACCTGCTCTGCATGCCTCTTGACCAGGGCAGTCACCGCCTGCAACGCGCCGTTAGGCATCGGCAACTGCCTTTCGCTTTTTGCCACCAGTATTTTTAGCTCGTGTCTTTCCTTCGCCCCCAGAATATAGCGATTAGTCAACCCTAGGAGAATTCCTTGCGGCGTGAACGAAATTCGACAATGTGGTGCCGCTATGGGAGACTGATGAGGTCACGGTCAATGCAGCGTTGTGGGCGTGAGATCTGGGAGTTGACGCCGTGGCGAAATTCCTCACTCTCTAGCTCACCGCGGTGCTTAACTCTCTCAATGCTAGACCGAGGGATGGATGGATCGACGACTATAGTGTTCGATGAATGTGGGATTCTATGGACTTGATAGATGGATGTCGAAACAATGAACAGACGGGTAGTTCAAATTCTTGCAGCATCCTTCAATAGAAAATTACCATGGTTGTAGTGCAATAAATAAACATAAATGTTAAATCAACCCCAATATTTATTAAATCAATCGACTTATCAAAACCACCATCATTATTTGTCCATTCTTTATGTCCCATGTTTCTTTTATTATTTCTTGTAAATTTATTTTGGATTGGTCAAAGTTTGATTAGGATTATTAAGATTTACTTAAAATTTAGTTAAGATTCTATTAGACTTGGTAGGATTTTTGTTGTGTTTTTACTTACCTTCCATAGTTAGGTGCTTAGTGCATTTTTAAGTAAGAACATACAAAATATGACATCGTGATATTATCCCCTTTTTTAGAAACAAGTTTTACGAGGAATGGCCATCATATATTGAAAAAGTCCAAAATATAATAAATTGTGTTTGCCACATATTCTGCTCTTTGTTCTCTTCAAAAATGGTTGATAGGTCTACTCAGCCATCAATAGTGTCTCATACAAGGCAAAAAGACTACCTTGTTATTTGATCATTGTTGAAACCTTCATAACTTCCTTCAAAAAAAAATATTTGAAACACCGTCAAAAGTTATTCCTACTTCTAATAAAATCATGAAACATTGAAAGTCTCTTCCAAGGTTGTGATATTATACATGTTTTATCTTGCAATCTATTTAATGAAAGACATGTCGTTCTTGAAGATCTTCATCTCGATTACATCATTTTGAAGATTGTGACAATTATAATGTTTTGTTTGATAAGCCAACAACTAATGGCTTTTGAATTGAATCTATTGGTTGTTGGTTCTCCATCTCTTTAGCATCATAAATACATAGAAGTTATAATCAAAAGTAGAAGGTAGAATGCTATCTTCTTTGGATCTTGTTTCTTTATAATAAAGATTTGATATATTTTATCTAGGTTTTCATAGATGTCGTCAATGCAAAACCTTAACCTCCTTTGATACATTTATAAGATTCTTTGCTAGCTCTTATAAAGAAGAATATGTGCATTTACTAATATCATTTCTATGCCAATGAACAAGATATTTTAATCTATTTTGGTACTGCCTTGAATCTAAGACTTCTTTTATATTGAACTCTTGATCATTATCTACTTCTATAGAAGGATGTAGCATTTATCTTCTTTCTAAGATATTCACTATCTTATATAACTTAAGAAGAGATATATGGAATATAGAATGGATCTTCTAAGACTTTGATAGATGTAATCAATAATCAACAAGATTGATTTATTCTCAAATAGAAAAACGTCCAAACTTACAATAGTCCAACTCCTTAAAAAGACAAGTTGTCAAGGATAAGACCTCAACGAAAGCAAATAAACAAGTGAGACTCTCTCAAAGAAATAGAAATAGAGAAGTATGTATAATAAAAAAAAAAAATTAGAATGACTATTACCAAAAGACAAGAAAATTAGAGACTCTTGAATCTAGACTAGAAGCAAGAAAGGAATTGATAAGAATGAAGAAGGCTTCACTCTTGCCTCTATATATACTATGTAACTAGCATCTATGTGGTGACATTCTATATGATCTCCAAAAATGTATTGACTTTGCATGACATGTATCTTAACTTGTAATGTAAGTTTTCTATATAGGTACCACATAATTAGCTTGTTCCACAAGCTATCAATACATGTGGCACATAGATAGCTTATTGACAAAGTTTCTAACTTATCAATCAACTACAAATATATGTAAAGTTAAAACAAGATCTACAAAGCTTCTAAGAAGCTATTTTAGAAGATATTATGAAATTAATTTATTTTTATTTAATTCTATATTTTTATATTATTTAAGTAAAAATTAATATATATATATATATATATATATATATATATATATATACGCAACATTACCTTCTTTTCTAAGGACGAGTTCCATGAGAAGCAATGATCATATATTGAAGAAATCTAAAATATGGAGAATTATATTTGCCACATATTTTGATCTTTATTTCCTTTTAAGGTAATTGATAGGTCCTCTTAGTCATCGATAATGTTCCATTCTATAGTAGAAAGACTACTTTGTGATTTGATCATTGTTGAATCTTTTATAACTTCCTTCAAATAAAGCATTCATAATACCATCAAGAGTCGTGCTTACCTCTAATAAAATTACCACACATTGAGAGTCTTTTCTCAAGTTGTGATATCAAATGCATTATATCTTGTCATTTATTTGAGGAAGAACATGTCATTCTTGAAGGTTTTATCCTTACCTTCTTATCAAGAAGGTAAGCCTCCTCGAGAGAATACAGGGTCCTTGATTACAAGTGGGTTGTAATAAGCACAATATTTCTCAAATGAAGTTAAATATAAAAAGATAGCCAAAAGCTACATTCAAAATTTAGACTAATTTCTTTCTTGTGCCAAGATGTATTCAATTCCTAACTCAAATCTTAAACCCACATCTCATCTTATTAAAATATCTATAATTCATTTATTACTAATCTATTTAGATAAAGTTTAGCTTTTTGACCTTAACTCAAGCTACAAATTTCAAATTTTTAAATTCCACAAACAAAATCTTATAGAAATGAGAGCCAAACTATGGAAAAAAAAATTAGCCACTTGTTGTAATCACTGCGTTAAAATCCCCATCTATAAATCAACTTGGATCTCCCTCATCACAACTCTTCTTCTTGTATGCTAAAGCTTGTTGGGAAGCTAACAATGATTTCTAAATTCTTCCAGATTCTCAAAATAAAAAGAAAAAAAATCTAGTAAATGGCATGAAAAGATCCAAATCAATCTTCAAACTTACAACCCAAAAACTCCAATGATCCTTTTTTTACAAATTTGCATGGTTCTTTCTCTTCATAGCTCTATTACTTACATGCTATATCTTGTTGAAAAGCTAACAACACGATTTAATTTTTTTCAAAATTTTAGAACAAAAAAATGAAAATTTTGTAAGTAGCCTTTAAAAACCCCAAAGTCGACTTGAAACTTGCCTCGTCCTCAAAAAACTATAGTGACCTTCTTTTTTCCTCTTTTTAATCCCAGCCTCCTTCTTTTTTTCAAAATTAAAAATCTCTATTTCTAATCTTCTCCCAATATCTTTCTTAAACCATTATAGAGTTCGGTATTTATCCTAAAAGATTTCCTCCAGACTTGCACATATCTTTGTATATACTAAAGAATTAGACTGCAATACCTCTATCATCAAAATTAGAGTTATTAAGAGCCATATCATTTTTCAATATTTGATTTAAATATTGAGGCTCAAAAACCTCTAAATCTTCTACATATTTCATCCTATCTTGCCCCTTGAAGACTTTAATTTGATTTTTTGCAATCTTTATCTTCAATGACATCCTATCTAACTCTTGAAGAAATTAAGTTACATTTTCATGCACTTCAACTACTACATAGGATCCAAACCAATGCCGTGTAAACTTACAAAGAGTAGAATGTTGGTGTATCAAACTACCATCATAAATCAAAATCCAATCATCTTTTTTAATTGATTTAGGCCTGAATCAGTGAATTTTATTGAATCTCTCTTTATTGTTCAACCTTGCTATCTTAAACCTCTCTATAATGATTTGATGATCCTCAGACAATCTCTCTAATTGGCAAATTTAAAGCTCCAATAATCTCTTCCTATCAATGCCATCTTTCCAAAACAAAAAAATAGAGAAGATATAGATTTTTCTATAGGTATTAAGAGCTTTTGCCCCAACATCAATTCCATTAGCATATAACTAGTAATTGTACTATGAATAGTTCTATCTACCTTTAAAGCAAATAGCAAAAGCTTAGGCCACAAACTTGATTGATTCCTATATGTCTTGATCCTTGCTATAGCATCTACTTCTTATAGGTTTGATTTTCTTCTATAGCTTTTGCATAAATATCCAACAATCATAATTTCTTTAAATCCAAATATAGATTTTTTAAAAAATAAAGTGAGATTTACATCTTCAAGTTTCTTCAAAATATGATCCACATCTTTAATATATTCTTTTAAAAGTGTATGGCATCCATCTTTTTTTAAAGTAAAATCTTTAGTCTCTTCTTTACAACCTTTGATTGGAACATCATCCAAAAAAGATATGGTATTCTTTAGCACAAATTTCCTTAAAATTAAATTCACATGTTTAGATAGCATCTCTAAAAACTTTTTTTTCTCTACCACAATCAAAAAATCACTCCTTCTAATCTTCAACTTGTCTAAAGACTTGTTGATAAACTTGTGTCAAATCTTTCTTGATTCTTTCAATCCCTACTCCATAGTAGCTTATTTGATATATTCTTTGGTATCTTGAGGCAATTGAGTTGTCATGGACTTCACCTTCTTAGCCATGGTCTTATATTTAGTATGTACTATAGCTTCTTGGAATATCACATGACTATCAACTACTCCAAGCTTCTTAGAAAAT